TGTGGGTGATTTTAATCATATCGATATTTCTTTCTTAAGTTATGTGCGCCTTCTCACTCGTTTGGAGGCCGAGTTTGACTAAATGTCCGTTAATATGCCAGAGATCTTCTTTATAGAAAAACAAGCCCCTATTATCACTTACAACCACTGTAAAAATCATTGACACCCCAAAACAATGGTAAGATTCATCTTCATCAACAGATACAGTGTCTCGGGCAATAAGGAGGAATTGTGTGCTGATAACACAGCTGGACTCAAATATATAGTTTCTTCAACTGATTTTTCCATTTTCTCCAATTCCAATAATTCCAACAAATGAGAAAACCTCACCAGCTACCTTAATTTCTGCTTCGGTTTGTGTTGAGCCATCGACACTGTATACATCCGCACTAACGGATTTTCCCCGCCTTCAATAAAACCACTTCGCCGTGATAAAGAACAGGCATTTATGATTGGCAGTCTCAACGATGTTAAACCATGATCGATTCTAATCAAGGTCAGGGCGCTTGACCAGCAAGTACGTAGAGACCATTCTGAACAACAAGAGCTATCATGAGAGGTGGCTGACGTTGAAGCAGCTGTGCGGCCCACGTGGGGGCTCGTGTCGACAATTTTCTGTCTCATGTGGTTCTAGTTCCAAACCGTTATCATTCAGTCACCCTGAACATATCAACCTAGTTTCTCCGACCGAGATTCTCAAAGTTTTAGAGCAACGAAAGTCGAACAAAGTCCATGAACATGACTTATTATCATCCGTCCTTTTGGAAAACTGTGCCGAACAGATTGCAACACCCATTGCTGAGTTGTTCAATTTGTGTATATGCTCGGGAACGATCGCGAATCACCGGAACGCTGTCCACCAACGTCAAGATAGTCTGGATGATGTTCGTAGTTGGTTTCTGCACCGATTTCTTATACTTAATGCTGATCAAGAGACATATGTTTACAGCAACGCATAATATAGACACATTCACTTGATCAGTTTTGGGTTGACTGAACCGGATGTAGCAGTGAACACACCTGCTGGAAATTCTCTTCAGCCGAAAAGAGTATATTTTGATCATAGAACGTAGAAAAATTGTTTGATACGACCCGGGGAAAATACGCATTAGACAGATGAAGTGTGAATGATGGAATGTTCCAGGGGAGGGGGGGAGGGCTAAAAGAATGAACCATTGGAAATCAGTTCATTCTGTGTGTGCATGTTATCTTGAGCAAACCTGATTGTTTCGAACGAACAGCAAATGGTTTTCAGTTGGTTTCTACATCTTATACTTATTGTTTCGAAAAGCGTCGATAATTCCTCTAACCTTAAATTCGGTCCCTGTTATCAAACTATGTTTGATGAGCGACTTCAACTCATCGTCAACGGTCACAGCATTCCTAAAGCTGATTCTCTCAAATACCGCGGCGTCGTTCTATCTAACATTCTCTCCTAAAATAGCCACGTAGAAAATGTTTGCAATAGAATTCTTTAAAAATCATTTGATGCTTTCAGGTTTAGGAAGCTTTCTGCTAACCTAAATATGATGTTTACATTTGTGGTCGCATACATCCTCTCTGTTTTTTTCGAGGCTTGAAACAAAAAAAGTTCATAGTAATTTCCAGATATATCAAACCTCTTCCGATGTTGTGGTAGACCCACAAATGTCCTGGTTGATGTTATTACGTGCAAGCATCTCGATACATCCGAAGTGCGTTTTTTCCCGTCTTCCATTGTATTCTGGTGAAAATAGCTGGGAATTCACGCTTCGGGTGTATAGAGCTAATTTTGACATGATCTGGAACTGCACTACTTATGAGTAGCCGCGCTTTGTTCTTAAAAATTCATATTGGTCGATACCTGTGTGGCTGAGTTTGTACGTACTGGTAACCAATAGCAAATCACTTAATGAATTAAACCGGGAGAACTGAGGTATTCACATTGAGGTAGAGAAATAAAACGTACAACAAAAAAACACGCGTCAACTTCAAAATCGTAGCCATGACAATGTGTTAAATAAGGACGTTCTTAGAGAAAACGGTTCATCGACAGAAAATTTCACGAAAGACCACTATGCGAACAGATTCAGGAGGTTCAGAAGAAGAAATTATTCATCCGTCCACCTTTTCAAGGAGATGTGATATCTGACTACTTGAAGACACGTCTGACGCATGCAGTCAAGCGGAACTATTATCATGTGTGTTCACAGGCTCACTCGTCATTCGAACCAGCCACAAAGATAGACTGCCTACTTACACTGGCCACTTCCATGATTATTTACTCCTTCCGGTGAGTTGGTAATGAAACGTACATTGGCCACACGGGAAAGCAACCATTTCGTCAGATAATGGAACACTGTTCATGCTGGTTGAGACAAAGAGACACGTGGGGTAAGCTCCATTCTTGATTATCTAGTGGATACAGGCTATCAAATGAGATCCGAATTCGCCTTAAGCGTGTGCCCTAACCCCTCTAAGCCAATGAGCGCACTTACATACACCAGTTACAGTTCAGGCGATAGGATTTTGCCTTTTTGCACAAAGCGACTGACTTGTATTCTAAAAGCGTAAGCGCTTTACAACAGGAGGTGACGTAACTTTTCAAGGGTGGATTCAATGGCCAATACAAGATCCAACGAAACCGAAGTTCAGTTTGACGAGTGCTTATCGTGCGATACTCTAAAACTTATGCATGACTGAGTGAGGTTTGCACTAAAAATGAAACAACAGAGCCCCATTCGTACAGTACAGTGATAAAATCGCATTATAGCATGTTTAAGCTTTCTAATTTAACAGAATATTACGGGAAATTTCGTGCGCAAGCTCATCTTGTTGCGGCAGTATCTGTCAGTTCCCGCTGCGTTATGATAAGTGATACTTGAGAGTAAAGAAAGAGCAAATCCAGCGAGCGGATGAGAAAAATTGGGAATCATGTCCTCGTGAATTTTTCTATTCGACGCATCACAAAAACTTAAAATCCCGCTTAACGCGTTTGTTTGACTGCTGGTGTGTGGAGATCACGTAAGTGAAACTCCTTCCAAAGAGATGAATAAAACTAATCATAGACGCCCTGCGAAGATCCGATGAACCCGACCAATAAGACACTTAGCCCCTAATGATGCCTACACTTGAAGCACCGGGAGTGTTGGATAATTCTGTCTGTGTGATAGGCCGCTCTGCGGTCGCCCGGGCCACTACTACACATGGTCTATTAAAGCCTTATGCGGTCCGCCACTCCAAGTTTCAGGATCATGGTTGCCGGCTTCCTCAAAATATAAGTCTGACAGTACAAAGTCACAAACGTTCACGTTCTCTCACTCACACTGGAATCATGCACCCATCACCCTCACCAACATTAGCGGACTGAAACACAATATTGATTCTGTACACCACTTTCTTCATTCTTCTTCTCCGCTCGTCTTTTTTGACCGACACCACCCATCTTCAAGTCCCCAACTACACTCTCCATTCCCTCTTTCTACCTAAAGCTGGTGTCTGCGCCTTTATTCACCAATCACTATCCGTCTTCAGAATCCCAAAATTTACTTTTCCAATCGTGAATTTCAGCTGATGTGGCTGAAACTCCGAATTCTTCCTTCCTTTAATCATTATTTTTGTGTTCTGTATTGTACCCCCATTGAACACTTGTTTGCAACTGACACCAACTGCCATGCCACCATCTTGGGAGACTTTAACGTTCATAATCAGGTCCGGTACTGCTACATCTTCGGTGGGGCGAGAAGCCGAACTTCGCCCTGGTCAACAACCTGAGCCAACTAGTTGACCTCCTCATACGCATCCCTGATCGAGCTGGCGATTGTGGCCGCACCCTCGATCTAATTCTCACNTCTCACTTCGGTCCTTTCTTTCTTCTCAGATAGTGGTACCATCCCTCCTCTTGGCCCACCAGATAACTGTATTGTTTCTTGTTCTATTACCTTTCCAAACCCCGAGCCACCACCCACCTCGAGATATTCTGGCGCTACAACTCAGCCAACTGGGACGATTCCCCTGATTTCCTAGCTGCTTATCCCTGGAACGATTGCTGTTTCTCTCCGGATATTTCCACCTTCACCGCGGTTGTTCTTCAAGGTATGCATCTTTTTATTCCGCACTTTTCCGAACCCGGCAAACCCAAATCCCCTGAGTGGTTTAACCATGCATGTGACCGTGTTGTACGCCTAAAACTTTTAGCCTTCTCCCTCTTTTTTCTCTCCTTGATCGTGTTCAACGAAAGGTCATTCGGATAATCAATGATCCTTGCTTAACATTCAGTCCACAGTCGCTAGCCTGTTGTCGGGCAGTTACTTCACTGTCCTTGTTCTACCGCTACTACTTTGGTTTTTATTCTTCAGAACTTGCCTCAGCAGTTCCTCTTCCTGCAACTTTTACCCACCCATCCCGTTCACAGGCATCTAGTCATCTTTATCAGGTTTCTGTTCCCAGATGTAATACCTCTCTGTTCCAATATTCTTTTTTCCCCGGAAACGCGAAACTGTGGGACACCCTCCGGCTTGCTGTTCCCCTCCAACTTACACTTTTTAAACGCAGAATCAATAAATTGGACCTTACGTGAATGTTCCCCTACTCTCCCTTTAACAGTATGCTATTTGTCCATCGGGATTTCCCCTTTTACTGTAATTCACACTGTAGTAAAAAAACTCAAGATGAGCATTACGTAAGTGTGTTACTTATCCTAACACTCAGGAGGACCGTCCATTACACATTTAATTGGGATGCTTCTTTCACCACGAAGTTGGAACCAATTTTAAGCATACAGTCATAGAAGAAGACATTTTAAATAAATGCTTTTTGGCAACAAGAAATGTACAGAAGTGAAATAAAACTTGTAGCATATCAAAAGTTACCTTTCTGAAATGTAACAAAACTCAGTTGAAATGCAAAAGAGCTTGCGTCACGAGTAAAAGATAACTAGCTCTTCATCGCATGATGTTCAAGTAACCGAGTGAGATTAGAAGCTTTCTCCAGTGATTTCATGTCAGCAAACTGGGCATCAACTGCACGAAGAAGGGCTTGCATAAACGTTTGAAGAGACACGTGACCATTAGGGGTTAACTGCGTAGTATTCTCCGGAGATATTGACTTCAAAGGTGACCGATCAGTGCGCTGTTCGGTTGAAGCTGAATGGACACGAGCGCCAAAAGATGAAGAATGTGTCCGAGGACTAACTTTCTTCAAGTGAAACGCATGCGCCAAAAGTGGCAATTTACGAAGTGTTCGTCCGTTCAGACCAACACTTCGTTGAGCTAACTTCCATAGGTAAATGCTCGTCGCATTGATCTGTGTCGAAAAGTTTAAAAGAAGAGGAATGGGAACGAAGATCAGGATCGTAGTATTAGGGAATACGCAATAGTCTCAGCATGGCATGACATTAGGCACGGAACTAAACACGCATTGCATGCCTCGTCGACTGATAAAAGAGCAAACTATTCTGCCAAAAGCTAAAAAAATATTGCATATAATTCAGAAACTGGTTTACCCGTCAAAAATCAGTTCATTTATTGGGTCTGCTTTGACGATGAGGACAATACAGTCACTACAGCGCACTATAGCATTTAGTCACCCACAGATCTGATCAATCTCTGACTGTCATCCGGAAACACTGACATCTTGGATAACACTGCACGGTCAGACACTCGATAACATTTGAGCGGTACTGAAAAATGACATGGGACTTGCCACACCAGGAAACGTTGACATATGTCACAACACCCCCGCTAGTCTTTTTTCCTCCGGTTCCATGATCCTGTCGGTAAACTTGAAAACCGTCTATCGACACCAGAGAGTTATCTATATTCTTAGTCAATCAGGATTCTTTTACATAGACTGCACCCGTGTTCGTATGAATACTTGATTGCAGGACACCAGTTAAATCCGACATTTTTGGAAACAGGGACCGAGTGTTAGTGCTGACCAACGAGGGAACAGTCATCTTGACCACAGGGGTGCAATTAAGGGTAAAATGCCATCCTGCAAGCTTGCGTTTTTCGGTCCAACCTGGACAGTAAGAAATTGAAGTCGCACAAACCGATGAACCATCAAAAGATGTCCTGGAACACTTGAAACAAATAANATAACGACGACGTATGATATTGAGTGAATATGTGAAAATTCCAACAATGTGATGGAAAGCGTGTAAGTGTAGCGCAGCTAGTCGAGACATGAGTGGTTTGTGAACGGGCACTTGGGAAACCCGGTTGGATGATCGGCTGTGGGTAGAGGGTCGTACGGACACCTAAAGCGAATCATTTATTCACATTTGACCCACGGTTACTTGTGAGTAGTGTGTGATTGATTTGACTGACTGTCCTTCGGACTTCACCTTCACGCACAATCCTCAGTTCATCGATTCAACCATACACTCGTTTATCGTTTATTCCCGAAAACCGGGAAAGATAGAGGAGCTAAAACAAAGTATCGTAGGGCGAAATTAGTCTAACTGCTACCATTCTGAAGGTAGATGAAAACCATGTTTACCGTATGCGAGAAGCAGGATGGAAAATATATCGAATAACTTTCACAAAATTGATATACATTTTTCACAATATTTGTTCTCTCCTTCGGAATTCAATCGCCAACAAGATCGTTCAAAGCGAAAACACCTAGCTGGGAAAACACCAAAAAGGGTTTTGCGTGGGCCTATATTAGTGGATATTGTAGTCCGTACCTAAGACAAGTTCAAGGTCTTTTTATGATTATCCACTTATCGAAC